CATTCGGAACTACGGAATTTTCGGCTGAACTTCCGACCGAACTTGGCCAAGGCCTCCGTCCGGTTCCCGCAGGAGTTTCATTTCGAAGGAGGGCGTCCTTTGAGCGGCGAATGCTAATCAGAGGCATAATTCCCGGGGACTAATTGGAGGTTCGAATAACAAAATGAAGGCTCGCGTAATTTTACAAGACAATTTTGGGAAAGGTGTCGCCGGCACGTTGAACGTTTCAAAGAGATTTCTTAATGAGGCTCTCGTGTGCAACGCACGAAATGCCATTTGCATGTCAACGGTTCTTACGGTTGCTTCGCGAGGACTAATATTGTTTCCATTTTACCGTTCGTCTATTCGCGGCGGATCTTAGAGGTGAACGCGTTTGTTTCGGTTGTTTGCTAAGGCTATGTTCATTTAATTTTATTCTATTACTATTACTATTAATAATCTATTATCTGTCTACTACTACTACTACTATATTATATTAATAATAATAATATTATTATTATTATTCTATATTATATTAATATTATTATTCTTCTATTAAAATTCTTTTACATCTCGATTATTGCCCTATTTACATTTAAAGGTACAGAGGGCTACGCTATAACGAACTAATTCGTTCTAGAATTATGAATTTGTCCAAAAATTATATTATTTTCCGCAAATGATGGGTTTCTGAGATCATTTGAAGGAACTTTTTCCTCAGCGAAACTGAAAACCGCAGCTTTGTTTACGAGTTATTAACGAAAAACAGTCCTAATGTTATCTCACAATTTTATCACAGTTTTGGTGCTCAAGGTTACCTGAAGATTATGACTTAAAGATATTAAAATGTATTTTAATATTAATTTAAATTTTTAGCTACAAGATGGAATAAAAAAAGACGTGATTTTCCCTGATAAAAAATAACGATGACCTTGAAAACATAATGAAAATACAACCGGATAAACAAATTTTTCTTCTATAATTTCTTTATCTTAAAGTATTCTAACTTCAACACCATTTGAATTGTGCCATAAATATTTCTTGTGCCATTAAAAATGATATTTTGATAGCCTCTTTTAGTCAAGACACCCTGTATATATTACCGAATATTATTACGAAATATAAATAGAATAAATTCAATATGCGATAAAAGAAGATATAAGAACATGCAAATACACATGCTATAAATATAATCTATTACACCTAAATTTTATACGCACCGGTGGACATACGTGCAAACTTACAAAACAATTATAAAAAAAGAGCCTGCAGAGAATAGCAGCCAATTTTTCTCTTATTGTATCCGCCCCGCGTTCGTTGCAGCTCTTCGATTTAATCAGAAAAACCGTGCTCGCTGCAGAATATTCGTTCGTTTTAGAATCCGCTGTTGTACGATGCATTTGTATGCATCGTAAACATATTAGCTCGCTGTCGAATGTATAATCTCAGTCGGAGCAGTACAAATGCTTCGGCGGAGGATCAATAGGATTCGGAGAGCGGAACACGCGCGGAAACGTAAATCACTGTCAAAGACGCGATTGTGCAGGTGTGTATTGCCTGCCCGAATAAAACGTGTGTGCGTGCAGCTGCAACCACGTTTCTCGCCAGCAATTTAATTATACCGGAAACATTGAAAACAATCGATTCGCCGCGTGTTTCTAATTCACAGTGTCGCCGGCCGCACGCAAATCCGTTAAAGTCTTCGTTCGACTGCTTTGACCGCGGCGGCCATAAATCGCACGGTATCGGATAGCGGCGGAAGAAATTGTTCCGTCTGGTTGCGGGGACACCGATAAGACGAAACAATCGATAGAAAACCGAGTGTATCGAGGAGCCGCACAGTGAGTGGGCCGGATCGAAGATTTTAGTGACTTTTTCACAAAAACCTAATTTTCTCGATATCGATGTCCAGTGAATTTTTATCGCTTGTTAAACGTCTATTATCCTCGAAAGTGGAAATATGAATAAAAATGTGATCGTAAATTGTAATAGATACGACAATTTAGAGTTGAACATTTCGAACGCTACATTCGACGCCAAAAAATATGCTTATTTTCCTCGCGATGTCCCGACGAACCTAATTAATTTTTTCCTTCGCTTTCTCTTTTTTAACATTGGGAGGCAATATTTCTCGTTAGGAAACAATAGCTTAAATTAAGATTATTGTATCTCATATCGATGTCCAGTGAACTTTTATCGCTTGTTAAACGTCCATTATCCTCGAAAGTGGAAATATTAATAAAAATGTGATCGTAAATTGTAATAGATACGACAATTTAGAGTTGAACATTTCGAACGCTACATTCGACGCCAAAAAATATGCTTCTTTTCCTCGCGATGTCCCGACGAACCTAATTAACTTTTTCCTTTGCTATTTTTTAACAGTAGGAGGCAATATTTCTCGTTAGGAAACAGTAGCTTAAATTAAGATTATCGTATCCTATATATGAAAAATATAATGTTCAATAAAATACGAAAAGTGTAACAATTCTTTACATTCGACAAGGAATTATCTTTCGACACCCAAGGACTCACAGTTTCGGACAAACGGTATATTTTGAGGATACTTTCCTCTACGTAATTCTGTAAAAGTTACATATCAAGACGAACCAGATTGTAAATTATTACGTTTCAAAGATATCGACGTTACGTTATTTCGAGGTTAAAGATATCGAAGATAATCTCTCTGTGTTCCAGTCGGTATATCACAGAACGCTTCTTCATCTGTAAATCGACGGATATTTAAAATTTTTGATTATTCCATATAACATGAAAAATATAAGTAAACGAAACAAACTTTGTANTAATAGATACGACAATTTAGAGTTGAACATTTCGAACGCTACATTCGACGCCAAAAAATATGCTTCTTTTCCTCGCGATGTCCCGACGAACCTAATTAACTTTTTCCTTTGCTATTTTTTAACATTAGGAGGCAATATTTCTCGTTAGGAAACAATAGCTTAAATTAAGATTATTGTATCTCATATCGATGTCCAGTGAACTTTTATCGCTTGTTAAACGTCTATTATCCTCGAAAGTGGAAATATGAATAAAAATGTGATCGTAAATTGTAATAGATACGACAATTTAGAGTTGAACATTTCGAACGCTACATTCGACGCCAAAAAATATGCTTATTTTCCTCGCGATGTCCCGACGAACCTAATTAATTTTTTCCTTCGCTTTCTCTTTTTTAACATTGGGAGGCAATATTTCTCGTTAGGAAACAATAGCTTAAATTAAGATTATTGTATCTCATATCGATGTCCAGTGAACTTTTATCGCTTGTTAAACGTCTATTATCCTCGAAAGTGGAAATATTAATAAAAATGTGATCGTAAATTGTAATAGATACGACAATTTAGAGTTGAACATTTCGAACGCTACATTCGACGCCAAAAAATATGCTTCTTTTCCTCGCGATGTCCCGACGAACCTAATTAACTTTTTCCTTTGCTATTTTTTAACAGTAGGAGGCAATATTTCTCGTTAGGAAACAGTAGCTTAAATTAAGATTATCGTATCCTATATATGAAAAATATAATGTTCAATAAAATACGAAAAGTGTAACAATTCTTTACATTCGACAAGGAATTATCTTTCGACACCCAAGGACTCACAGTTTCGGACAAACGGTATATTTTGAGGATACTTTCCTCTACGTAATTCTGTAAAAGTTACATATCAAGACGAACCAGATTGTAAATTATTACGTTTCAAAGATATCGACGTTACGTTATTTCGAGGTTAAAGATATCGAAGATAATCTCTCTGTGTTCCAGTCGGTATATCACAGAACGCTTCTTCATCTGTAAATCGACGGATATTTAAAATTTTTGATTATTCCATATAACATGAAAAATATAAGTAAACGAAACAAACTTTGTAACGTTACAATACTAACGGTTCCAGGTACGTTAGCATTGCAATGTTACAAATAGTTTGTAACATTATATTTAAACAATTCTTTTTTCACAAAAAACATCAATGAGAATTAATTAAAAATTATTGTTTAACAAATGTAAAAAAAGATCTAATTATCTATAGTAGAAAATAACTATTTTTTAAAATATTTTCGGTGAAAATTTCATCGCTATATCTTTGATGGTTCAAAAGTTATAACAGAATGTCGCTGAATTTCTCGATGCAGCCCACTGTGAGCCGTTTCGCCGAAAACGGCAACGTCGCGCGCGCGCGCGTCCGCGTCGGGAGACGTCGATCGCTGGTACGGAACGCGCGATCGTTCGATAACGCGATCGCCGTTCGATAATTTCATGCGCGACACGCCCCCGTCCACGAAACGCTAGCCAATCCGGCTTCTCGCCCACGGAGCCGCGCCGAACCCCGGCACAAAAATCACGAACAACACGTAATTACGCTCGATTGCTAAATTGGATCATTAACGTAACTGCCGTGCTGTTGCAGTAATTACGAAATTCCGTGCACCCTGACCTTTAAGCCGGCTGCAGCTTAATTTTTACGGCGGCGCTCGCGCGAAGAACGGGCGACGCCGAGAGAGCGGCTTATTTACGGCCGGGATCAGGCCGACTTCGCGGGGGCGAAGTTTCTCCGTGGCTCGCGATAAAAATACCGGCGTTCGAGCGGCCAGTCGAAACCGAGATATTCAAAGCGGCCCGTGACATATTGCGCGACCCGAGAGAATACAGTTTCGTTCGGCGGCTCGACGGTTTCCTGGCCGCCGGGCGAAACGGATCGTAAAAACTTACAGTGCTCGTGTTGCACGCGCCGATTTTCGAACGTCTGACGGAGACAGTTGATTGAAACATGCTCGACATGCGTATCTCTTTTGCCGAGCATGCTGCACACACACACACACGCTGAACGGTTCAAACTAACCTCGAAAGTTAGCGATTGTAAACACGTTTGTTCTATGTTTTTCATGTAGTCGTTGCAAAGACTGTATTTTTTATTTGTATCCTTGTTATTTAAAGTTTACACGAGGACAAAGAGTGCGAACTATTCTATATTATCGTTTTTAAATATTATCAAAGACTTACCGTGTCATCGCTGTTCCGATTTCTTTTTATATTTTCGGTGCGTAGTTGACAACTGAATCCCGAACAGATCGCGCGCGACGCTTGTGGATTCTTGCATATCCTATTCGTGCGTAGCGACCGAGACCGGCCGAGACCGCTCGAGGCCTCCCGAGACCGGCCGAGACCGGCCGAGACCGGCCGAGAACCGAGCGCAGTCCCGAAGCTTTCGGGAGTCCCAAACTTCGGGATCCCGAGACGCGTGCAGGTTTCCACACTCCTCTAAGCAGGATGTCTCCTAATTAAAAATTAATTAGGAAACTGGAGAACATGGGAGAGAAAAATTAATTTTTTTTTTCTGTATTTTCCGAATTTTCAGATACAGGGAAAGTTCGAAAAAGAATATTTGTTTTAATAGTGTATCAAAAACTTCGATTTCCTTGTGATGTTTCTCATTACTACCGAAGTTAAATTCTCCCTAATTTTCCTTCAGTTCGTAGACAAATATGGATAATTTGGGAAGAGGAGATACGATTATTCGAGCCTTGCATCTCGTCTTTTATAATTGTTGACAATCGGCAACTATAAAAATGACGAGGCTCGAGGCTCGAATAATCGTATCTTCTCTTCCCAAATTGTCAAGCCGAAGGAAAATTGGGAAGAATTTACTGTATTTGATTTTTCCCGGGAATGAAGAGCAAGCAGTGATCAAGAGAGAGAGAGAGAGAGAGAGAGAGAGAGAGAGAGAGAGAGAGAGAGAGAGAGAGAGAG